CAAATTCGATGGGTCTTGACCTACGGCAAAAGATGAAAGGAAGTATTAATATTTCCTAATCCATTGTAATTATGATTTCCCCGCCATTGTTTGTTGTCGCAGGCAATGCAACCTTCAAAAGACAACAAACATATATACAGATATAGGCGGCGGCGAGGTCTTTTCAATAGATCAAATTACCAAGTAGATATGTCAATTCTTCACGAAAACTGCCGATAAGAGATCTGCGTCAAAAGTGGAATCAAATGAAATAAATAAAAATAGAAAAGAAACCCTAAGTGTGCGTGCCAACCGCAGAAATATCGACCGACTACCGCCTGTCTTTTTTTCACCAGAAATACAGAACTGAACATGGCCTAATCTCTGTCAGGGATTAAATAGTTGGTCCAATCAGCGGCAACGCCTGCGGCTAATGAGCTGCCGTCTGTTCCAGGGAATCCCAAAAATACGAAAAAATAAAGTAAAGTAGAGAAAACGTACGCCTCTGATAATTACTCAGTTCCAATAAAACTAGACGGGGGAAAAAATATAAAGAAAAAAGTCACTCGAAAACAATAGACCAGATGATCGGTGTTAAGCCGGTGATCTTGGCGATCTTATCTCAGGCCTAGATGTGTGTTATGACTTTTACTTTTCTTTGTCACGATCGTGGTGTGTCGCTTCAAATCAAAGCAGCAGATTAATAATTCTACAGCCGGTCTTTTGGTCCTCGCCGATCCGCCGATCGATCCATGGTTTGCGATCGGAAAGATGACAAGAGTCGGTGGAAAAATCAAAATCAAATTAAAAGACAGCAATCAATAATTTGACACGACTTGGGGCGATCGCACAAAGGCCGAAAGAGACAATCATGAGGATTCTTACATAGAGAGAAAAAAAGGGTTCTTAACTTTAATATTAAACTTGTGGGATAGCTTATAATTTAATTAACCCAAACTGTGTGTTTTTGTGTCTTCAATTGTTGATATTAATCCTTATTAAAGATTTAAGATCACTATGGGATCTCTATAGAGCAGTTTTTCGTTTAAATTCTCAATTGGTTTTAAACCTTGTATTTAAAATCATCAGATATTTAGATATTTTTATATTTATTAGCTTCATAGCTTCAGGATCTCGTGTAACACCAGTAGCACAGTTTTAATATATTTTTTATAGAATTACCAACTAGTTTTAGTAACAGAATTATATAAACCAAGCTTTATATTTTTTTTAGGGCTACTCATGACACAGTTTGTCATTCGTCATACCTCTTACAAGATTTTGGCATAAGAATTGTTTCATTTTACAATGCAAATATTCTTTCAAAACTCCCCTAATCTTTTTTTCGAGTGCATTCATGCCATCGTTTGTTGGTGTCCCGTTGTTCCACCTGGGTTTTTGGGCTCTGGCCCTGGGATCTTCTGGAGCTCTCTGTGTAGATTTGTTCAGCTTTTGCGACATTTTGTATGAGGCGATGGATCGATTCAATCCAAATCGGATGCAATCCGCAACGATCCTCAGCGCTCCTTCGCATACTGGATATCCCCGAATCCCGAATATATCCCGCACTCTGATCCCGCTCTTGCTCCCATGTCGCCTGCTATGTACAACATCAAGTTTTATCGCTGATCGTGATCATGTAATTCCAGCCCACGCATGCGCACTCGGCGCTCGCTTCGAAGGAATCAAGTTTAGCGCATTCTTATATTCAAACTGAGAGCAGGAGATGGAGACCGGAGACAGGAGACTTGGGACTTGGGACTGACACGGAGACGGAGACGGAGATGGAGGCTCTACGACTGAAACCGGGGGACCTTGTGACAGATGGTTGTGAGGCTTCAAGGCATTCCCTTGGATCGCCCAACCCAATGCGCGGCCCAGGAAAAGGCAACAGAAATGGAAGGGAAAGGATAGGATGTACAGGACAGGAAGAAGGAGCTGAAGGGACTGGTTTCACCTTGCACTAAGGGAAATAAAGGGGTAACATAGTACCATTATTTAATTATAAATTGATAGTACAAATATGTCAAAGAAAATCTAGAGCCCCTTCAGCCTCTGGTCTTCCTTATTGCGCTCATGAGTAGACTTTCCTTGTTCCCTAATCTACAAAGCTCCGAGCTAAATTCCTATTCCTACAAAAGCTTATATTATTTCACTATATCCCACTTAATATTTCGTAAAAAGAACCCAGTTTTTTCCCAGTGCAGCTAGCTTTTTAGCCTGTGCGATCTTTATGTAAACTGGTACTTGAAATTTGAAATCATGTACCATTTGCCTTGAGACAGACAGCCAAGCTGGAACTGAGACCTGCGATGGGATTGGGATTGGGAACTACGATCTCTGGGATCCGGCAATGGAGCCTGGCAATCGATGATCGTGTCCCTGAAGAGGAGCAAGAAAGAGAATTGAGGCGGCGGCACAGGAAACGAGCATTTAAAAGGGCGACTATCGAAATATAACGACATTAAACAAAAAATAATAATATAAAAGGAAGCTTGTGTCAATACGACAGAGTTTTTTACCTTGGAATGTGCAGCAATCGGCAATGCTGATCTTTTGATGGGCGCCGCCATTCAGGATGATCCGCGGATCAACACAGGAATGATGATCATCATCAGCATCATCTCCTCAGTCTTAAGATTCACTAAGCGACATAATTGCTACCGTGAGACTGATGAAGACTCGACTTGAGAGAATTGCAGACTCCTGGACTCATTAAATGCCAGCGATCCTAATGCGCTCCAATCAAACACACACGAAACGAGCATATGACATGTTTGTGGATTATTAATCATGATAATATCTGTATAAATGGTAGAAAACACAGCGAGTCTCGGCGGCACAAATTGCAATTTAATGCAAAAATAAATTGCACTTGGAGCCTGGCACTGGAGATGGAGATGGAGTTGAAGTTGGTGTTTCTTTTTTTTCTTCTGGACTCGACAGCCAACCAACCGGCAGCCGGAGCGATGGCAGCTCCCATGATTATTGGTCATTTACTTGGGCCGTTTAGCGCATTAAAATCGCAATTTCTTGATTTTTTTTTTTTTTGCTCTGCGTTTCTTTTCTGCATACGGAATATAAGGAAATGTAATTGACAGTCCGAGTCCTATGATTGTGCTTCGAATTGTGATTGGGTTTTGTACTTCTTCTGGCTGCCTCACGCTCTCTCTCACCGTTTCTTCTGGTGGATTTCTTCTTGGGAATAGCGTGCGAGGAGAATCATTTCAATCGTCAGGCTTTAGCTTCGGGCTGAAGAAATCAACGCGTTGACTAATGGCCACAATTTGCAAATGCTAGCACAGGTTCATGCACTCAGCGAAAATCTGGCTTATTATGGAAAGAAATCAGGTTAAGGAGGGAGAAATTCCCAGAACCTCTGACAAGGTGTTTTTTGTTCTCCCATTTAAGATCGTAAATATTTAATAGATTCAGCCATTGTTCCATATTTACTGGGAATTTTTACGGCTTTCTTTTATGGGGGCGGAAAAAAACAGCTGGTTTTTTATCATTCAATCGCAATCCTTTGGTTTTACTTTCTTGCTCTTTTAAGATCGCCGATCATATTTTATTCTTGAGAATTCCATTTTCATGGTTTCGATTTATAAAACGTTTTAACATATTAAATTTCTGCAATTTTATCATTATTAACTTCAAAGCGGTTGCCACCAGATACCGAAATTAACACTTGAGAATTATAGCAAACTAAACTGTTACTATAAACTGTGATTTCTTTAATTTTGTTATATTTTTCTTCCTTAGTAACAGCTTCTAAAATTCCGCTAAAAAAAAATGCCCAAGGTTATCAGTACCTTGAAGTGCGAAAGTGCCATGAAAAACTCCCCAAAAAAAGTCTTCTCAATTTCCTAGGAAGAATCATAAACAATTGCTTGCAAAATTATAAAAAATAAATATAAACGTAAATAATCAAACTACTTGCAGAGCGAGAAGGCAGGCAAAAGGAGAGCCTGAAAGTGAGAGGGAGAAACAGCCAACTTGAGCGGGTAAGAAAGAGAGGTAATGAGTTGGGCAATTGGAAGAAAAGGAGAACACCCACTCAAAAATCAGAAAAGACAGCGCCACAAAACCGGTTCTCTCTCTTTCTACCACTTTAGCTCGCTCTCTCCCTCTCTTTTTGGCCTAAACTTGTGTGCGTGAGTGGGAGACTAAAGGTGCTCAAGAGATCACACTGTAAACGTGTTTGCACCTGGCTCTAATACTCTCCCTCTCCGAACGCTCTTTGTAGACAGTGATTTCACCGTTGATCTCTCCGTATTTCTCTCTCTTTTTTGGTATTGATAGAGAGAGAGAGGGAGAGAGAACTACTAGTGAGAGAGAGTCACAGTGATCAACAAGTGAGCGCAGGTCCGCGATCCGTTCGCAGAGCAATGGACTTTTAGTTATTCCGTGATCTTTTACCAATATTGTGTGCAGCGACGGCTGATTCGACGTCAGGAGAACAAGAAGAAGCATCCAGAGAAAATAAACAAAAAACAATAGTTACTGTGTACACCAGTATGCGCGTGTCTGTGTGTGTGACTGTTAATTCCGGAAGTTGTGATTAAGCGGAAACGGAAATCATTATTAAGAACTCTCCTATAATACAGAACTTTCCCAAACTCTTTTTTGTGGAAAAAATCACCGTTTCGATAAAGATTTTTCGCTTAATTATTCGCGTGTGCCTGTTACACTAAAAATAAACGAAAAAGCGTGCCTTTTAATTTTTGAACTCGATTGCATTTTGCTGCTCTGCTCGTTTTCGTTTCTCGATCTTTTTCGCCAACGTCAAATTCGATTTTTATGACTTTTGAAAGCGTGACTAAGACGTGATTTATGATGGCGTGTGGTTTTTAATATTCATGCGGACGCGCTGCTGCACGGGACCACTGCGTAGGTGCGCCAAACAATAAAAAAAAGAGCAAGAAAAGAAAAGGAAAAAGCAAACGCAGCCCCTGAAGGCTTTTTTGCGAGGAGTAGGAGACGATTCCCTGGTATCCAGCTGTGTGCGTGGATCTCAACGTTTTTTTTTATGGAGGCAGTTAAGCATTTGAGTGCTGCCGCTGCCACAGCAAGTTGCAACAACATGCCGGTGACCAGCACAGCCACCGAGATAGCAGAGGCGCTAGGCGGCGATACCGAAGGCACTTCAGCGGCAACAACAGCAACAAGCAGCGGAGCAACATCAATAAAGCAACAAAGCAGCAGCAATAGCAACATCAGCAACAATTGCAGCAGCAAGTCTAGCAACACAGCAGCAGGAACCTCAGCAACACACAAGGCGACACTCTCGAAAGGCGACAGCAGCAGCAACAAGTGCAGCAGCAACATCAGCAGCAGCAACACTAACAGCAACAGTAAGACCACAAGCAACGCAGCAATGGCAGCTGCAACAGCAACGGCAGCAGCCGCCACTAATGATCTTGCAGCAGCTGCTGCGGTCGTGTTGTCGCTGCAAGGAACTATGGTCAGTAGTCTGCAACAAGCGGCTCTGTTGCCGGCAAACTCTGCTGCAGCAGCAGCCTTGAATCTACAGGCCTTGGAGTCCTATTTGGCATTGCAACGCCTAACAGGGAAATCGGATGTATTTCGGTTTAACAACAGCAACAATAGCAGCAGCAACAGCAGCAGTAGCAACAATAGCAACAACAATACAACCTGCAACAGCAATGAGACAGAGACACTGCCTTCGTCACTGATAGATATAGCCAATATAGAACTGAAATCGAGCTGTTCTTCGAGTTCTTCGGGGGAAAATGCTTCAGGAACTGGCACCAGCGGAGGAGGAGGAGGATGTGGGGGAACAACATCAGCAGCAGCAGCAGCAAGCTCACCCTGCAGCAACACTAGCTCCAACAGCAACTCCCACTCTAATTCCCATTCAAACTCACACTCCAACTCCCACTCCTCCTCCAGCACAACCACAACCAAGTGCCACTTGCCTTTGCCCTCGATAGGCACTGTTAGTGCCGCCGTTGCTGCTGCGGCAGCGGCTGCAGCAGCTGCTGCAAGTCAACAGGCGGCGCTTGATTGTGCAACAGCCGCAGAATTGGCAGCGGAATGCGATCTCCCCCTGCTAGATGCTGAGGATGCACTATCCTTTGAGGCTGGAGACCTGGATAGCAGCTATGGCAGCTTCATATTCAACCCCAATGCATTTGGGCAAACGGAAACGGACTCGGCTTTGCATTCACTGCAAGCTACCATGTATCAGGATAAGATGAGTGTCCTAGGCTCGGGTGGAGGAGCAACAGGAGGAGCTGCTGGCCTGGATGAGGCAGCGGGAACCTCGACAACGGCAGCAGCGGCAGCAGCAGCAGCGGCTGCTCAGCGTTCCAAGAAGCAATTCATTTGCAAATTCTGCAATCGACAGTTCACCAAGTCGTATAACCTCCTAATCCATGAGAGAACCCACACGGATGAAAGGCCCTACTCCTGCGATATCTGTGGCAAGGCCTTTCGGCGGCAAGATCATCTCAGGGATCATAGGTAGGTAGTAAAGACTTATTTCTATTTCTAATCTTTGTTAAATATATATTAACCAACATATCTAACGTCTTTATAAGATTGTTATCCTAACTCTTTTAGCTTTAAACTAATGTAGACTCTTTCCACCTTGTCTCTAATCTTTCGACAGATATATCCACTCTAAAGAGAAACCCTTCAAGTGCGCGGAATGTGGCAAAGGATTCTGTCAATCGCGAACTCTGGCTGTCCACAAGATCCTGCACATGGAGGAATCCCCACACAAGTGTCCCGTCTGCAACCGTTCTTTCAATCAGCGTTCCAATCTTAAGACCCACCTGCTAACCCACACAGACATTAAGCCATATAATTGCTCATCCTGCGGCAAGGTTTTCCGGCGAAATTGCGATCTTCGACGTCATAGTTTAACCCACAATTTGGCTGCCGGAGTGGGTGGTGTTGGTGGTGTTGGCGGTGTGGGTGGAAATCTCAGTGATCTTTTTGGCTCTGGCTCAAGTTCCAGTTCTGATTTAGGACCAACAACAAATCCCACAGGATCCTCTAGAGATTTGGTGGCCGTCAGCGATTGATCTTTTCACTCAAACAAAATCAGAAAATAAAATAAATCTCATATTGCAGCTCTCAAGAATACACGAATCCCTCCTCCTTCACATTTTGTGTCTGATCTGTGTTTTGTAATCTTAAATGTAATTTTATTTACTAATTCACTATTAATTTAGACTAAGTCTTCGTCTTTAGTTAATTAGGTTTAAGTCATGGATATTAGCAGGAAAGTTTGACTTTGTGTAAGGCTCTCGATTAATATATATGTTTAGTGAAGTAAGTAAAATTGTGGACTCTTAAATAAATAATGTCGAATAAATGATACTAGATTAAAAAGGAAGTTATTTAAAAACTTGGTTTTTTATTACTATTAAAGTACGAATCTTGGGAAAAATTACCCCTAACAGGACTTCAAATACACTTCTAAAAACCTCCTCTTTCCCCTTGAAACTCCTCTTAGTTCTTCGAATTGAAAAGAAAAATCCTGAAAAGCATTTTCTAAATTTTCTATCATCATTTAACCTTTTTTTCTCACCCTTTCTCCGGGTCTTGTACTTACACTATTTACACACTTGTCACAAAACTAAAATCAAATATTTGTACTGATGTTTATCATTGCTCAAGTGCCAACACGGGCAATTAATGTACCATTAAAGGTGTACACCGAACGACACCAGTTCCAACAAGCCTTTGACAACAAACATGATGATTGGACAACAATAGTGACTGACTGAGTGAGTGAGGAGGCTAAGACAAAGAAACATCAAGTATTTTCCCATTGATTTTTCTCTTTAGTTTTCCAAAGGGTGTTCTAGATTTTCCAACAAAGACAAATAGTGTTGAACAAGTATGGTGACAAGTGGAGCAGGCAAGAAGACCACCCACTGGGGTAACCTAAATATATAGGAGATATCTTATATATATCAGGAAAAGAGGAGCAACAGCTTTCCCACACAGATAATGCCTGGGGCGTGTCCACTGAAAGACTTTTTGGGGAATCTCTTTATATATATGTATATATATTTTTTTATAGCAAAAAGTGGGCTGTCCTGTCCAAGTATGAGAACAAGGGTGGAGCTGCCACAAAGTTTACAATTTTTATTATCGACTACAAAAAGAAAACGATGCAACGGCGGCGGCGGCGGTGGTCATAACGACACAAACAACACACATGCAGTCCACACACAACACACCCAACACAACAGTCCAGTTCAAAAGCAAACCGCCGACCAGGTCCGATTCCTGGTCATCTTACCCCTTTTTTTTGCTTTTTCCCGAAAAGATCTCGGCGCGTTTGTCAAATCGTTAAACGGATCAATGTAAAGCCGCCTGCAATGTTGTCTTTCCAGCACAGTTTCCTGTGCTTCAACTGCACCAAACCAATTACAACGATCAAACAACAATTATGGATGGAGTCCCGGCCTGAAGTTGGAGTTGGAGTCCCATTCTTGACCAGAGATCTCCGGTGAGCTCGGCTCAGCTCGGTTCTGGTTCGTCCATTCTTTTGGGATCACTCCTCTTGTCTCCTCACCTCTCCTTAGTTGGTTAAACATTTTAAACACGACCTCTGCTTGCTGCTCTCTGCAAATATTTGCGCGGATATTGTTCTATTTCAATGGAACAAGCGTACAGGCGACACTGAGAGAAATGTTATTATGAATAGTTAAGTTTTAAAATTGGTCTATATTTTCCTGATGTGTTTATGACAACTGTAGGTTTATTTTGATTGATTTAAAATACTTAAATCGTGAGTAAGCTATATAGAAAACTACTCATGTTCTACAGACTTTTAAAAACACTATCAGAAAAATGTATACAACTTAGTGAAACCTTGTAAAATCTTTTCAAAATCAAATGTATTAATTTGGGTATAGAAAAAACATTTACTATTTGAAGTTGTAGAAACTTAAGAAGTATTCTTATGCTTAGATCCTCAAACTTTTTATACACCATGTTTTCTGAAGCTTTAAACCCCAATATATACCTTATATCTCACTTCAAAGCCTTAGCTTAGAGTCCTCAATAATTAAAAAATCTTTGGTTCAACCTTATTTCTCTTAATGCATTGACATCTCCCATTAGTCCGGTCTTTAAACGGTCTCCAAAGACGACAAGCTCGAGTTGAGAATGAAGCCAAGCTTCGTCGTCTCTGCGAATTGCCAGCAATTTCACACTTTATGCGCGACGGCTTCATTTCCAACACACAGAGTGAGTGTTCCAACGTTGTTCACTCTTTTTCCACACCCCCTCTTTGGGGATTCTCCTGACCAAATCCCCAACTATATATATCCGTAGCTCATCCTCCCAGGGAAATTCTACCCGGGGGACGGCGCGTGCGGGAACAGCGGATGTTTGAACGCTTTCGACGCCGAGTTTTTTTTTTGGAGTTTCGAGAGTTTTTACGAACGCAACGCAACCAACGTTTGTCCGTTGTGTATTGATGGGAAAATTATGAAATTCATTGTTTGTGTTTGACTAATAATTATGACAGCAAACGCATTGTCGTCATAAAACCAGCAACGGTTGGGGAGAGGGGGTAGACGGACGGGAAGCGCACTAAATTCGCTTTGAGGTTTCCGCAACGCCCCGAGAGAGGAGACAGGAAAAAAAATAAAGAGGAAACCAACTTCGACTAACTCTAATAAGCCCATCAACAACCAACGACAACAACACATTCCACCTTCGATCTGCAACACTTACAGTAACAACGGGGAACCAGCAAACACTTAGAACAGCGGACAAGTTGCACAGAGAGAAAAGTCTAGTCACAGAATTACTAAATAAATATTGTAAATAAATCTCAAATTATTATAAATACATAATTGCAGCTGATATAGCAAGCGCAACAGACTATAGTATACTATTGAGTACCATGATTTGAAGAAGGATCTTTAACTAGCATGTTGCCAAATTCCTACTTGGGAATTATAAGATCAAAGAAAGATTTAAATACATTTAATGGTGGATATCCTGATAAAGGATAATTTTCCGGTTATGTTGTTTAACTTTAGGGCATATTTTAACTGATAAATTATATCTATATATATAAATTATATCTCTTTAATTAGGGGGTGTTAATATTATACCTTTAACTATTTTAAGTAACTTTTAGGTATTAAAATAGATTCAAAAATTCTTCAAATAAACATTCTCTTAGTAACAATTATTTAGTTACATTTTTTTAAAGTGTAACAAACACTCGACCATCCAACAATGTTGTTGTCTAGTGTATGTGAGGCGTGGCCGTTCCGAAGATTCTTTGAAGTTGGCTATTGCTTTTGGTCAAGGTGTTGTTGCTCCATGGACAAAAAATAAAAGAAGACGAGGCCGTTGTAGCTAGTTGATGGCCAAGAGAGGGCAAATTTTAAGTTTTATTTTCTCTTTTTTTTAGTTTTTGGTGCGTTGTGAAATTTTGTTGCGTTTCCCGGAACCAACGCAAAAAAAAGCGGAACGTTCTCGTTGTCGTCAGTGTTGTGTTTGCTGGTTGTTTGGCGCTGTCTTTTCGGGGCTGACTGCGAATGTAAATGTCAGAGGGGGCTGGCATTCTGTCGGCCCGGTTTTTGGTTATTTTGGCCATTTGGCCATTTTAACTTTGGCCAGTTAGTTTGTCGGCACCATTTGCTTTATGATTTGATGTATGTCGCTGTCCGTCCGGTCGTAACTATGCCAATAATTTTTGGGGCCCTGGCCATATCGGCACCTCCAATGGGAAACGAATCTGTGTGTTTGCACAACGCTGATCTACGCACCAAGAAAATGCACTGGAAATTAATCTTCTGTACTTAAAAATATATAAAATATATTTCTTAAATTTTATCTAGAGAGAAATCTGAACTCTACATAATTTATTGTGTACTTTCCAAAGGTTTTGTAGAGCGGAATATTTGTTCTTAATTTTTATTAAGATTTAATAGTAAATACAAAATATTTAAAGGTTCAAAAATACCCTTAAAAATTGTCCTATCCTTAGTAAATAATTGGTATATTTTAAACCTAACTTGATATATTTTTTAGCGTGTAACTCACATATTTTTTGGGGCCAACTGCCGGCGTTCGAGGATTTGAAACGAATATATAGTTTTTGCAGTTTGAGGAGGGTTTTAAAAGATGCGCCAGAACCGAAGGAAACGTAAATTTCTGCGGCGTTCTTCTGCCTAATTAGGTGCCATATCGTAAACGGTTTTTTTTACATATTTCTAGCCGCAGTAAGTCTATGTTTAGGGATAGTTTGTCGACGGAGGAGGACTCAACAAGATATTTAGCATTTTTCCAGCTTAGGAACCCAAGAATGAATGCAAGAGAAATAGCAGAAGAGCATGGTTGTACTTAAATTAAAGAAGAAGGGTTTAACCAACAAAGCAGTTACTAAATAAGTTAAGAAATATTAAAATCAACAAATAAATAGGTCAATGAATATATTCGTAGTTAAGGAAACAAATTTATCAACAAATTAATTGATAGGGAAATCAATTAACCAATAAATTGATAATTCAAAAATTATTTCTTACAGGAAAAATAATAATTAGAAATAATAAACGTTCATCTAAAAGCCTTTCTGTTATTATTAAATAACTATCAAGTTGTCATAAGAATTTAACAAATATTTGAGAGATAAAACCCATTAGAATTGTCAATAGAACCCATTTACCGAGTTCCCAGAATTCCCCCAAAAAAATTTCCTAATAAAACTCTTCATAATCCCCCAACTTATACCCCATTTAATGTGTGTTAAACCACCCACACCCATGTCATATATAGCAGCTGTCTACCACTAGACACCTTGTCTCCAAAGATCCAAAGGCCACAGGAAAAATAAAAAAAATATATATAAAATTTCTGGAAATGCGCTTCTTTGTGCCAATGTCATCATACAGAAGAAGAAAAGCTGCCGAAAATCGTGCAAGTGAATAGAGAGACCTTGCTTATAAGGTCTCCTCCTCCGGACTTGGAAGCCCTTGGAACATCACAAACTCCTCCGACAAGAGTAGGGACAGAAGTACAGGGGGGAAAACGACGGTGTCCCCAAGTGGTTATTAGATTTTATTGGACGGGACACTTTTGCCGACGACGGTGGAGTTGGGGGAGGCATTTCCACACACAATTCTCCGGCTCTCTAGAGTTCTCTTCTTCTCACGTTGAGGCGGTAGAGTACTGAAGCGTGCATATAAAATGCTTACACTGGGGAAAAAATTATATCAATTTAAGAAATATAACTTGAATTATATTACAGAAATTGAAGGGTATTATTCTGGTTCATAGATAATATTTTTC